CTTACCAGGAGGATGCGTCCTTTTGCCTTCATTCTTGCTGCTATCCCCGCTGCACTTGGAAGAGCATTCCTGGCATGTCTATATGCTGCACAGTTCTGAAAAGGCCCTTTCCGGTCACAATCCGTTACGCCCCCTTTGATTTTTCCTGAACTTTGTCAGCAAAGATCGCAGCACACACGAGGGTCACAACGTGAACGCCCACTTGCAGATGAAGCCATGTCGGCAACATGTCTACCTGTTTTTGCGTAGGCCTTCGTGGCAGAGTAACTGCAGCTGCTGCAAGAAGTACGGTTGCAGAGCATGCTAAAGTACAGTGCCTGTCGAGCCAACATGAAATGCGAGGGCCTTTGCGAGCTCATGTCCAATGCACAGCCAGGTCACCAAGAAAGTAATGCTCGCGCCTTGAGATTGCTGGTTGGTCAGCGGCGGCACAGCTACTTATTACTTCCAGATGCGGAGAAAAAACTGCTGAAAGACCATGCATCATGCATAGCACAATCTTGCAAAGAAACCCCGTTAAACAATGGGCGACACCGTGGCCCTTAGCTTGTTCCTGCCAGACCAGCACACTTGGTCTGAAGCACGGACTTTCGTGACCACTTTCCCGCAATGATGTCCGCAATGATGTTGTCATTGCCAAGTTCCAACCCTCGCGCCCCGATTTCAAAGAGGCCAGACATGCGGCCCTTGCTTCCCAGTTGATGCGGGTCGGGACAAATCCAGAAAGCACTCAATGCAGGTTTTGCCTGTTCAAGTTCACTTGTTTGAGGCAACCAATGCAAAGGGCTGCCTGCCAATACCCCATCTACAAGACTGCAAATCAGAGAATCGCACGCGCACTTGCCCGCTCGCAACAGTTAAGCCCTCTCAAAAAGTTTAGCCCCTCGCTGACATTTAGGTTTTTCCTTGCTGTCCGTACCTTTGGCTAGTGAGGTGCACTTCGGAGAAGTGTGACCTTTGAACCGACCAAACCGCAATGCTCCGCGCTTCAAAGTGGAAAACGCAGGATCCCAATGTCTTCCAGCCCTGGCTGTGCATGACACATCGCTTGCCAAGAGCCTGCGATTTTTCGTTCCCCGTCAGGAAGCAACCTCAGCAGGTGTGATTTGCAGGGACCCTTGAGGCATGCACCAGTCGGCAAGGCAATGCTTTGTGGACTTGGCTGCTCCAAGCTATGCACTCCCTAGCACGAGAACTGAGAGCACGGGGCTGGTTTGCTCTTTTAGAGGATAGCCAGGCCGCACAACCTGTAGAAGCAGCGGCCAACCAGCCCGCACGATGTTTGCGGGCTCCGCATCAGTCTTCACTGAGAGGTGAAATGGAAGTCTGCAAGAGCACCATAGCCGCTGCAGCCAGCATGCGCCTGGTGACCTACACGCAAGCTGGCACGCGAGGCTTGATTTTACATGTTGCAGGTACGAGGGCATGGAGCCAACGGTCCCGCGGAAGTAAATCAGCAAGGCTGCAGCTGCATTCTTCTCAACAGGAATCATCACCCCATGCCGCAGCAGCTGCTTAGGCCTTCTCTTCGAAGCTGACACACCAGTGGCGCACTTGCCAACAGAAATAGCCTTCACGTGCAGGTTGCCTTGCTGCAGCGCACCATGCCTTTCCAACTGCAAGATGAAAGCATCCAAGCTGGTCTATTCTCTCCCTAATATTTTGCAGGAAGTGGGCCTCCAAAGATAAGGTCATCTAATAATTTGCCCTGCTTACAACATTCGATTGGACGGATGCAAAGGCGAGATCCTGAAAAAAAAATATATATGAAATATGATTTTAGAGAAACGATCTCATGCAGAAGATTCATGATAAAATTTGATGAGATCCGAGATCATATTAAATATTTCATTCGAAAATATTTGAAATAAATAATATGATTCTATAATTGATTTTCGATATTTATTGATTACTATATGTAGAATGATATTATCCGATTTTTTGAAATTTTATTCAACAATTTTTCTGATTCGATGATATTCTAAATTAATTGGAATTATAGATTTATCGTTATTAATATTCTCTGATCAATATTTATGATATTATAATAGGATCGTTCTACAAGATCGTTCTTCTCATATTTACATATTCTAATTCTGGATATGAAATATCTATTGGGATATATTGATAATTAATTCGTTATTTTATGTCTCGATAAATCTATTAGGTTGATATATTTTTATTGGGATGCCGTTCTCTCTTTTGGATTATCTGTCAATCTGATTGTTAATAAATCTAGGAGCCGATATATTAGATAATTCTACGAATCTAAATCGTAATTTCTCGGAGCAATACGATCGAATAAATAGGATTATAAATCTTACGACTTAATATTCTATTAAATTGATAATTTATATTTCTATAACTTCTCTGATAAGAATATCTAGAAAATCTAAAATAAGAATTCTTATTAAAAATTGATAGATATTAATTATTTGTTTCGAATTTCGATAAATTTGAGAAATTATATTTCAATTTGAAGGCTTCGGATGAAAGATATTAAAACTAAATCTATAAAAGAAAATAAATATAATATAGAAAATATTTCATTCTTTTCGAAAGATTCATATGAAAAATTTGAAATTGAAGATAGAAAAATAATGATTTCATATTATATTTTAATGAAATATATATTTTCAGGAAAAAAAAGAAAATATTTTGAAAAATATATAGAAATATTTTGAAATCGATCTTAAATTAATTTCTTTAGAATTTCGAATTCAAATTTAGAATGATATATATAATTATTATATATTAGAAATATATATTAAAGACTATAAATTACTTCAAATATCATCTAAATTCAGTATATTCGTCTGATTTTTCATCATTATAAAAGCTAGCAAGCCTCTCGAATCCGAATGAAATTTCGTATATTTTTTCGGAAAATTCATTTCTATTTATTATTATAATTCTTGATTTGAATTTATATTATATTTAATTTATTCACGAATTAAAATCAAAGAAATTCAATTTAAATATCTGTATGATATTAATGAGAAAACCCTCATATTATCATTAAAATATAAATTATTCAAAATAAATGCGACGATAAAATCAATTAAATTGTAAATCGATCTGAGATTTAGGCAAGAGAAAAAAGGGAATTCCAAATTTCGTCGTGATTATATCTTCAAAGAGGTCGATAGAGAAAATAAAGAAAAAGAGGCGCGCACGATTTCAAGTCCCCAGGCCATGTATTAAAACCCGCCGCCATCCCAAGAACCCGAAATCCCGCAGACACGATGAAATCAGAAATCAAGAAAATATTAATCCAAAAATGAATAAATCGAAAGAATAAGACGTAATAATGGATATCTAATCTAATATATAATCATCCCAATATTACGATTGGAATCAAATATAAACGAGATTCAGAAGATATTCTAATCATTCCATTTCCCAAAATTAGTAATAATTAACCCTCTGTCCGAAGTAGTAGATTTTAATTATTCAAGAAAATCGAGGAAAGAAAATCCGAAATTCAAATTATGCATAAACTCGCACGTATATCCTGATGAATTATCAAAATTTTAAGATGAAATATTTTCGGTTGCTCTACGAGCCCTAGATATATCCCGAACTTTCCGATCCATTTATTTCTCTTAGGCTATCTCTCCGACGGCGTAGAGCAGCGCATAAATCTAGAGAAAAATTAGGTTTTGCATCCCGAGTCTACGCTCCTCCGACTCACCATACCAGCAATCAAAAAGAGATAAATCATATATAGAAGATATAAAAATGCACGTAATTCTCAACCAATAATCAATATAGAAAATCGTACGTAAATAAAATAACGGCTAGCCCAATATATTTTGAAAAATCAAAAGAAAAACGAATAAAAAAATAATTCCGAGATTGCCAGAAACGGAAAATGACAAATCCCCGCCTCTCTATCGCGCAACCGCCCCAAATAGACGAAATAAGAATAGATACGTCGGCATTGCAGAAAATAATTATATCGTCTCCCAATCGAGAGTATAATTAGAGTGGCGGGCCGGAAGCTCGTATAAATATCCGTAATCAGCTACGATCAAGCCGCCCTGCAAACTCTAAAAATATGGAGTCTCCATCTCGGGTCTATATATTCCTCCAAATAGCCACGTTACCAATCAAAAAGAGATAAATCATATGGATTAAATGAGATCGCGCGTATACATCTCGACGACCAATCGATATATTTAAGAATCGCACGTGCCCAAAAACGGCCAGCCTAATAGATTCTAAAAGGTTTTCGGTCTACGCCCAGCGTCTATTTACGCCTCGTAGATAACCCAAGAAAGAGAAATTAATCGAAATCTCGAGAGATTTCGGGTCGCGCGACCCCTCCGTCCAGCCCGGTCTTTCCGCCTCATTGGCTATCTGCGCGCGGGGAGCGCATATATCCCCGTAGACAGATACGACCAACCTATAAATTCTAAACGATATAGGTTCTTCGTCCTGGATATATATTCTCCGCCGAGCAGCCTCGCAGACAGCCAAAGAGAAACAAATGACGTGGAAAACCGCTCCAGAGGCGGCAAGGGCCGCGCGACCAACAATCTCCGAGATTTTTGGTCGTGCCGCCCGCACCAAAATCTCGAAGATTTTAGGGCCTCTAGCTTTTCCGAAAGGCTCTAAAAACTCCGAGACTTTAGAGCCCCTACAGGGAGCCCGCAGGAGGCATTTTAAAGGTGAGCCGGAAGGCCTAGGCCGCGCGCGAGCGAAATGAACGCAAGTGGCCGCGCTGTAATATTACGGTATTCTAAAGTCTCAGAGATTTGAGAGCTGGAAAATCTAGGCTCCGTGCGGGTAGCATCGGCGCAAGTAGTCGCGCCGTTCGCTTGAGGTAATTCGAAACAGTGCAAAATGATGGTTGACGGTGAGTATGACAACGTCAGTTTATAGAAATCAGTTTTCTTTCAAAAATTGAAATATTCCGTGAAAAAGAATTGCGGAGATGGTGATTCCAATATCTTATTCTATGAAGCTATAGGCCATGAAGCCTTGTCATGGCCATGTCAGTCATGCAGCCATCGAGTCGGCGTCTTTGGCAACCTGCATGGATGAACCAACGCACGCTTAGTTTCGCATTGTCATGGTCGTACTTTCACTGGACCCCGTCTGCATATTATCCTGATACAGAAAGTCAGGATTTGTAATTTGATGCCAGAATTGCATTCCAAATATTGAGGAAAATGCTTTTGAAAATTAGGTATTTGCATGTTGAAGGTCGGGTAACTTTACAACAAAGGTTGATCCTTCTTTGGGGCAATCCCCAAGGCACCTCCATTCTGCGCAGCGGGTGGCGAGAGAGTCCCGACCAGCTTCTTTTTCCTGACGGAAGTTTTGCAGAAGGTTCCTGCTGTTGCGACAAGCGGAAAGTTCTAATGAAGCTGGCATGTATTCTTGCTGAGGAGCTGAATTTGATGGTATTCGCAGAGATCATTGCTGATTCTACAAAAAAATAATTCAAAGAACGATTCATCGACCCATCCACAGCAGGCAATCACCAACAACAGCCGGTTAGCATCCTATCCCCAAACCGCATGTCATAAACGTTGTTTGCTTCGAACACGGGCAGACAAGGTCTTGTCACCCGATGTGCAAGCCAAGGACCAACAGCATGCAAAAGAAGCTGTTCTTCCCAATGCTGATTCTTAGCCCAACTCCCTAGAACAACAGAGCAATCCATCACGATTTGTGATGTTTGTCTGGTGCCAGTGCAACAAACCCAAATGGTACTCGCAAGTTTTGCTAGCACTTGTGGACTGACGACTACCAACCTGCTTTCAGATCAACCGGCCTGAGACAGTGTCTCCTGAATCTGGAACCCAGCATCAATGAGGCCTCGCATGGGCTGTGGATGATGGTAGCTTGGAAACAAACGCCAGTACCGCCCCCTTCACTATGCAGTCCGCCGCTTAAAAGCTTCTTCTTCTTCTTTCAGAATTTTCCGTGGCAAAGGCACATGAAAACGGAACCGTCACGCCTAGGCCACCAAGGAAGAACAGCCAGCAGCAGAGGAAGATTGGCAGCCACTTATTGCCTTGGTAGCCGGGAGATAGTACCTCAGGGTCGTACTAATTCCACGAATACAATTCAAATTGCCATCCTGCCTGGCAGTAGAGCACGACCATGGCAGGCAGAAAAAAGTTCAGCCAGTTCCCACAGGTGCAGGTCAGGAAGAAAACGAATTTTGTGAACGCCTGGGGCAGCTGCAAAGTTGAGCTCCTAAATTGTTCAAGCTTGCAAGCACGAGTGTGATGAACATCAAGACCGCCAAACCGCACATCATCCAAGACCCTTGTCGTCTCCAGACTCTAGCTGTATTAGCTTCCACTTTCTTTTCCATTACCAGTGTATAACCCCAACCCTAAACCCGAACCCTAAAGCCATTGGCCTTATCTAACCCCTATAGAAGCCCTGTGAATTGCATTGATGGAACAGGGCAGGCCTCGGGGCCCACAACGCAGGGAGCCATGGCTCCCGTGAAGGCCAAGATTAAAGTCAGACCACCCTGTCAAGATCTGCACACTGCAATGAAGATTATATTCTATATTGGGGATATATGTATATATAGGAATTATATACGGATAATGGAAAAGAAAATGGGAATAGCATATTGGGGTTATATAGGGGATAATGGAAGATCAAATGGAAACTACTATAGTGGGGATTATAAGCCGGAACACACTTTGACTACGGACGCGCCTGCAAGCTGGCTGGGGCTTTGGTCAGGTCGGCACTCTCGCCATCGCTCGCAGGGAATAGAAGCCCATATATCTGGGCCTTGGTGCAGTGCAGGGATGCAAAGCCCACAAAAGCAAGGCAGCTTAAGGCATATGCGAGCTCCTTTCGAGTGCTGCATGTGTCACTGCGATTCCTCTTGCACCTTGCCCTCACCTGATGCCCCAATCAAGGCTGGGCCAGCTAGCTGTGGTAAGACATGATACATCAGCCCGTTTGGTACAACGTACTAGAAAGCTCGTCATCATCTACCACAGCCATCTTGCGCAACGACATAGGGTGCAACATCAGCACTCTTCTTTCTCGTCTGCATCTTGCATGCTTAAGCTGACCAAGCCAAGTGCCAATGCAACTTCCAGGCGAAGCGGACGTCTGAATGCAGCACTCTAACAGTGGGACAACAGGGACGGTTCTTGACCAGCCTCAAAGTGGGCCTCCAAACCCCTAGCCTTTTCCGAACGCGTCATTGGCCACCGTCTGTTGCAAGTCTATCTTGATCAGACACAGCCAAGTGAGTGGAGATGCCTACGCTTTGGGAGGATAGTCCGCCGTGAGCTCAACTTGGGATCGCTAAGCAAGTCGTTCATGACTAGAAATGGTTAGAGCAGCTTTCTTCCAACCATACAATGCTTCCGGACAAAGGCTGTAAGACCACACATGACGCTTGACTGGCACGGGTGCTACATGCGTCAGCATTCACGGCCCCCCCCACCTCCCTGCAGCCCCCAACCCCCCGCCAATGGTCCATGGTATAGAAGATGATCACCCAACCTCCCCCCCCTGGGCTCGGTAGTCCTGAGGTCTGGGTTGGGTGGTGTAATGAAGACGTTTAGATTAGGTATGTAGAGGTTTATAGTATTGATACAGGGGTTCTATAAGGTGTAAAGAAGGTTTGCAGAGGGTTCAAAGATTTAATGGCTGGTTTTTTAAGGGTTCAAGATATTTTCTGTTGATTTCTTCAGGGTTTGTGAAGGTTGGTCAAGCTTTACAGCGGGTTTCTGCAGGGCTTATAAAGGTTGATAAGCTTGTCTAGGAGGTTATTTATACAAGGTTAAAGATTTTCTGGAGGGTCCACAGTGGGTCTGTGAAGGTCCCCCTACTGTTAGTGGGATAGAAGGGGTTTAGAGAGGTTTTATGAATAGTTCATGGTTTGGGGGGCATTCTAGATATGGATCATCCCCAGATAGAAACAATACCATGGGGGTGGAGCGGGGGCCGAGAATGCAGAGCGCGGACGCATACATACCAAAGTTGACCCTGAATTCATGTGGGTTTCAACTCAGGTTGGGACCTTGAGGGGGAGGATGAGCAGCGGGGATGAGAAATAGGTGAGCAGAGCCATACCACTCTGCAAAATAGTTGTCATGACATCTGGATACAGTTGGTTGTATGTGGCGAAGACTGTCGGCTGGATGTCATCACCAAGGGCGAAATAAGCGCTGTACGCCAGGACCATGTAGACAAGGAACTGCAAACTCACTGCCATGACAGGGCACCTCAAGACTAGTAAATGAAGTGCTACAGCCAAAGGTATGACTCTTAACCTCTGTCTAGGATAGTCGTTACAGTACAGGGGATGGAGCGCGCTACATAACCCCAATTGAACCAATATCAATCCCCACCCTGCCCTTACAGGCCCTCCATATTCCCACCATATTCTCGTTACATAGTCCGCCACTTTTCTCCTCAGCCCTAAAGAGGCCGTGGACTCTGAGGGGTTTGTACTTCGGGCAGAAATCTTGGCGTTGCCTCGCAGGCGTATACAAGCTGGAACTGTCATGTTGGAATTGCCATCATTCACTCGCACGGTGTTGCGGGATGATCACATCGCTTCGGTCTTGAATGCCCATGTTATCGTGTCCAGATGACTAACAATGCATTCATGGATGATCTGGCCTGGCAACCTTCGACTTCTCCTCTAGAAATCTGGAACCCAAAATCTGAAGGCCTACGCTACTTTATTTGACAAGAAACAGAGAGATGCTCACATTGACCCCACCTAGTGCGAAGACTGAGTGCAATGCCTGGCGCACTTCAACGACAAGGCACAACTTTGCTGCTCTTTCCTGCTGCGACTTGTCGACATCCGAAGCTATTTGCGGCATGATGCCAGTGTTTGCGTAGGAGCCCATCAACATGACAATCGTGCGCACAACACCGCCAGGTACAAAAGCTGTGTAACTCCTCTCTCCTTCCACAGCAGTGGCCGTATAGATGCCTTTGACGACGGCTGTGACAATCACAACCCATTTGACACAGAAATTCACATAATTGATGCAGACTGCGACGGTCCCACCCAGCTGTGGTGGCCAGCTCACCAGCGAGAAGAAAACAAATACCAGGAAACCAAGGCGATATTCACTTTGGCACAGCCATGAGATGTCGCTCTCACACATTACTTTGCAGACCTGGTCAGCCAGGAAGACCTTAGTCTTAGTGCACCAGGGATACAAGCTGACTAAGTGAACTGGCCGAGCATGAGTCTCCAGATATGTAAATGAGGCACATGAAATATACGTGCATTCTCCAGCTGATTGAAGTTCATCAGTGCTATGAACATTCCTGATTGATTGTGCACAGCCCCACCTCGACGAATTGGCAGTAAAAGCCAGCGCAGCCCCAGAAGTATATCAGAAAACTTGCAACTGTAACCTTGGCGGACCAATCTGGGAGAGGTTGGCAGAGCTCATCGAAGGTTCCGGCTCCAAGCTGGCAGCTCGTAGAGATCATGGCACTTTGCTGCAGAATTGCCGTCACGGAAACCGCGAACAAGATCACCGCGAAGGCTTGCCACCCACATGCTTTGGGATAATACCCAATCAGCGCCACCGTGCAGCCAACTGCAGAATTGAATGCGACCAACGCGGCCTGTGGCTTCAGCAAGTTTCCCCCCAGTCTGATCACGATACATTCTGCTAGATGCTACAGGCACTGCACCAGATGTATTGCCCGACCAGAGCCTGCATCACGCTCAGGCCAGGTGTCTGCAGGTACACGGACGTAGAGAGACGCGAAGCCGTGTCGTGAAGCGATACTGAATTGCTGCGGCCCTGGAGCATTCCCGTTAGATCTCGGTTGATTTGTAATCCATCTCTCTTTGGGGATGGGTAATGAAATGCTACGGCACCTCAACAGCACACGCCTTGGGATTGCAAATTTTGACCCAAACTGCGGGTTGCTGCTTCCCATCACACCCACTGCCTGCATACCCAAGCCTTCATTTGCAGCTTCAAAGCCGGGCCGAGCCTTGACCAGGCAGCTGCTACGCCGCCGCACGCTCTGGCGAGGCGGATCCTGCGGCCAGGAGCGGCGGCGGGTTGAAGGGTCCTGAGGTCTTTGAGTAACTAACTCTGTAAGCAGCTCTACTTACGATCAACGAGACCTTTTGCTGTAAACCCTTCATTGTGAACAGCTCTGCTTGACCCGTACTCCCAACGCTGAACACCTCGCAAGACCCGGATGACACCCAGCAGTCTTTTAACCTTAGTCGCCTTACAGTAAACAAGAATAGGCCACTTGGGAGAAGTCTTCACCATGTGCAATGTCACCTGGAGTCTGTAATCTGTGTTGTTCAGTTTCAAATATTCTAAGTTCCGGCTCCCGCAGTCGCCTCACGCCACTGAGCTTCAGCTGCAGCGCTTGCTTCTTGAGTCTCTTCGAGACTTCTTGAGATCTAGCACGTGACCAGCACAGGAAGAACCTGAAGAGAGATCTGATGTAACGCCGGCCCTGGGACAGTTTTTGACCAACTCTGTCCTCCACCTGCATTGGCTCCATCTCAGCAGCAGCAGCAGCAAAGCTGCATGAAAACTGGGTAACCCACAAATCATGCAAGCTGAAAGCCAAAACAGGCCACAGAGCCCAAAGAACATCTTTGCTGCAAGCTGTCAGCAACATGCGACACAAAGTGCAGTGGCCTGTGCAGAGATGCCCTTTGATCGCAAGCCACCTCACAACGTTCGTTCCTCAGAGTCATGCAGCCTCATCAGCGCGCTCGGCACCGCATAATTCGCATCTGGATGGCACTGACCGCATAAGTGCGCAAAGTGTGGAGAATCATGGAAAGGGGCCGCCTTCGGCAGCTTAGATCTGCTTCTGCTATGCTTCGCTATGCTTCACAGCAAGCGAAGGCATCCTTCAGCTCAGGCCTCGTATCTGCCAGAGGCCACTTCCTCGGCTTCGGCACTCCAAAGACGGAGCGAAACCCCAAGGACAGACCATTCATATAATCTTGTATTATCTTCTATTCGTGTGCAGCTGGCAGGACTCAAAGCTACAGAGGCCTGTAGCAGACAAGCGACTGCTTGACCAGTGCGCCATACTCTGTGAGTTTCTGGCAGGCAGCACCAACATTGCCGCAACGAATAAAGTTCGCGGCTTTCTTGTCCACGATCGGGCACCATGCATCGGTTTGCGCCCTGACTCATGACTATTTCAAGCTCGATCGCTGCATTGGCTTGGAAAGCGGACTACAAAGCCTCTGCACGACTACCAGTACCCGCCGGATGCTGAAGCACCCACAACTATCTTTCCAGTAGCAAAGCACCGTCAACCTTGTAATCTGAGACGGCCTCCTAACTGTCTTCGTGCAACCACAGGAAAGCCAAGCGGCTGTCTTCCGCCAACAGGCTCGCGCCCTTTACCAGCAGGGCACAGCTCCTCTCCAGTCAGAATGTGGCAATCCCAAGCTGAGGATCCCTGGGCTGCTTCAAGAAACGTGTTAGAGTGGGATCCTCGTAGCTGCACAACCGCTGGCCATGTGCCTGCATCACATGAGGATCTAGGGGCATCAGCGAAGACCACTTTCCCCTCAACTCCGACCATGGACTGTAACACGTAGTTCGCACATGCTCGCATGGTCGGTACTGCATGAGAACGAACAAACAGGTGAGCATATGAAACTTTCGAAGTGTTTCCGCGGACGCTTGCAGCTGCCTGGCAATCATCAGAGAAATGCTTCCAGCCGACACCTCAGCTCAGAGCTTGGCATGATTCTTACATGTAACTGCTGGACTGTGCTTCGCGAAGCTGGAGATTGTCCCACCGGAGCTAAGCTCTTGGCCCTGGTCGTTGGGATGCCACGTCGGCGATTTGCCTTGGCAGGGTTCGGGGAGAGTCTGTTTGGCTCCGTTTCTGGGAAAGCCCTCTCTGCATGTCAACGAAACCGACGGAACAGACCCATTCTGCAGGCGGAACGAAAAAATGCAAGGGCAGACACATAGACTGAAACGCGTCAGTGGCTCTACACATACCAGGACGCTCTCAGCCTTGCTTTTTCCTATCTCGACCAGGAGCATTTCACAAAAGCTTTAGCGCGGCCATCCTGAATGGTGGTGTGAAAGCTGCGCTCTTGCGTGTACCTCGGAGACTTCACTGCCATGGCTGCATCCAAGCAATCCGCAGGTCACAGACAGGGATGCGTGGAGATTTTGCACCATCTGCATACAGGCCAAGACACGTGTAGCAGTGCCTTGCGTTTCCGTCCTTCCAGAACTAGCCAGATAAGTCTAGATCTGAAGCTACGAAGCGCCAAATTAACCTCATGTAGTCGATGCCCCAATCTTTCTCGGATTTTGACACCTCATTAACGTTCCGTAAACTTGGAATCGTCTGGGAATCGTCAAGAAGCAAAAACGCTGATAGATAGTCCAACCTAGTTCCTCTGGGGTGCTTGGGATAACCAGAATTCACAGTTGGAGCCAGGCCGGGCCTCCCAAACGTGGAAGCCAATGCACGCAGCGCGTGCACGGTCACACTGTGCCGCACAAGCGGCAAGGCTGGCATCACCCCCGGAGGTTCGGACGTGGTAGTACCAGTAGCCTGGGATAACTCTCTGAGTTGGCAAGAATTGCACAAGCAGCAAGAGATACGGGCCTGCACAAGATTGCGGTCCATCTGGGGGCATTTCTTTCAGAGTGACCAAATGAAAGCCTTACAACAACCTTTCCGAGCTCAAGAGTAAACCATCTGGCAACCAGAGGATCATACAAATTACACGGATAAGTAGCCCAGGCTGTGTGAGCGGAGGCACACAATAGCAAGTCACAAGCAGCCTGCACTCTTTCAGATCAGAAGCCAAAGTGGGAGAACTTGTAACCAGGAATGCCATAGTCGTTGTAGCAGCCGTCTTCGTAGTACGGGGTCTGGCAGGATAAATCTCCAAGTGTGCTTTGGTTGTGTGGGCATGCGGCATCCGCCTTCATCCGGTCTGAAACCGTATGCCTACAGCTACTACACCGCCTCGGCTACCCTCCCTTGCCCCTCATGAACGTACAGGCGCGCAGGATCCACTACAGTTGAAGCAGTGCACAGGTCAAAGCTAGGCATCCTACCTGCAAGGCAAGATGAGACTGGCTGCGAACGTTCACTTGACATGGAACGGAGTTGCCATTCAAAGAATTCGCCTCAGCCTCCAGCCTACAAGCGTCTGGAAACAACAGAAAGCATCTGGTCGTTTTCCAGCCTCCCCGTCGTCCCCTCACAGTTGGCATGTCGCACCAGCTTGGGGCGACTCCTCCCAAGACCCAAAACCCCCTTTGCCCCCTGCAACAGACCTCCTCCACCCCACCCTTGCTTTCGACCCCTTTGGCATCTCGACAGTCATCCATTACTCATCCTTGGGAAAATGCTCGTTTGGTTGGTTTCAAGAGCATCTTGGAGAATAGGAGGGCTGGAGCCATGACTGCCTACTGCCCCGTTAGCTGGCAGCTCATCACGCCAACTCGGTAGTCCTGCCTAAGAGCCTTGTCTTATGCCCCTTTCCTCAATGACTTCCCCCAAGATCTGCGCTTCAGTGGCCACAGCTGCCAAAGCACAGTCTGCTTCAAGCTCGCTTTTCTGTCGGTACAGCTTAGGAACAGCACGTTACACACAGACAGCAATCATTGCCGGGCCGCGACCATCACATGAGAAGTCCAGCAACACGCAGAGACACGCTCCAGCCACGAACTTTTTTATGGCTAGTCAAGCTCGTGTGCATGTCAACATGTTTAAGGCCCGGCCTTGATATAGCACACGGCATCTTTGTATCGTCCCCCGAAAAAAGCTCGGACTGGAATCACATTGCCACCTCGCCTCAATGCAACGTTGCAAGTCATGACTAACAAATGTCTGCTTCACGAAGAGAGCATTCCGACAAAAGACCATCGCACTAAAAGGCTATGCTGAGTAACTTATGGCCCGTGAACAGCCAGCATTTTGAACCTTCATGCTGGCTGTTGGCATAGAACTCGAAACCATAGCCTCAGGTCAAAGCCACTGCACTGCAAAGTCCTGACTCAGCCAGTGGCGACGTGGCTTTGCGGCTGCAGACGGTATGTCGCAGACGGTAACCCTGCTGAGAGCTCAGATTCCTGCTTGCTTCTACTTCTTCTCTTGGCTGCGAAAGCTCTCTGAAGAATCGACAAAAATCAAGTCCAACTCATCTCGCCAAGCTGCAATACCCGTCAGAGGAACAAGCAGCTTGGCCTCGGTACGTCACTGAACTCTGAATTGATTCTATGTGCATCATGGAATGAAGCACAACTGCCTAGCGCTTGTTTGTGTTTATAGATGCCTAAAATCAAGATTCCCTTCACTGATCTGCTTTCACACTCAATCGTTGGCAAAGTCTCAAGACCCACTGCATGACAGGTGACATGCTCCAAGGGTCTTTGCAGGGTTTTCGGAGCCTTCAGCCCGTCTGTCATTCCTGGCATGCACACTGCCAGCTTGCTGCGGATGTGTCTGTGCCGGCTTGCTAAGCCCCTAGCCCCTTGCACTAAGAAGCCCCTAGCGCTATGACACCTCGCTGACCTCGCTGTCCTATCTACTTCATCGCTGAACCTCTTCAACATTAAGCTGTGGCAGGATTCGCAGCCACGCAGTAATTGTTTCCCGCCAGATGGTACTCGAAGAACTTGTACCTTTCAGAGAATCGGCTGTGGACGGTCGTTCGCATTTGACAGCAGGCACGACTTGCAAAGACTACTGACTACTCGAGACCGGGGCGGTGCACTCGTCCAATTGAGCCGAACATGACGGCAGACCGACTGTTTGAGCTGTGATGCGGGGCAGGGGGATGTCCTGTTTAAACAAGTACGTGGGCCTGTTGTCGTCAAGATCTAGGGGTCAAAACCTTGACTTCTCAAGAAATCATGCGGTCTGTATGATTGACACGCCCTGGGCGCTCTTTTAAGCGCAAAATGCAAGCAAGGTGCTTGTAGATGTGGTTGTAAGCAGCATTGTTCCCCACACTGTCAGTAGACTTGCTGATGCAAGTGCCATCATCTCGAACATCTGTGGCGGTGCCACAAAAGCACCTGCATCAGAAGAAATACACAGCCTAGGTGATGCCTCTCTTTGAAGCTAAATGAATGCTACAGCAGGTATGAGATCTACCACAGATTGTCTAGACGTGCAGGCCGTTTATGTCTGTTCATTCTCCTGCGGCCTAAGCACTGGCCAAACTTGCCCAAACGGAGCGGGTAGTAGTGAAAGCCCTGACCGTTGCAGTTTGCATCAGTCTTGGATGCAGCGTAACACCCAGAGATGGTCAGCTCACCTCAGCAGACAGAGAAGTCGCGAGAAGCCAGCCAGCTAAAAAATCACAGCAACTACGCCGTGTTTGCCTCATCCCTGCCAATCCCTGACAAGCTGAAACGCATCCAGTAGGGGGTCAAAGCCGACACCTCACAAGATCAGAGGGGAAGCGTCAAATGCTGCAAGCTTCCTCCTTTACACAGACCTGCTCTATGACTTTATGGTGCTTCTGCGGCATGGCGTCCTTTTGCATGAACATGGATCAAGGGAAGACACCAACGATCTCCAACATGCCGCAGAAGCGGAGACCACCACTTCATGTGCTGACATGTTGCTGCCTAAGTCCCTGTAGCCAGTCTTCCCGCAGGTGTAGCCTGTCCAATGAATCTAACTGCTAGAAACAGTCATGATCTTCTTCTTGTTCCCCCTCTTCTTCTTCCATCTCTTGCTCTTCTATAAGCTATGCGTCGCCCTTGCAGGAGGAGCCGGGGTTAAATCCATGGCCCATGTGTCCAGGCGGCGCGAGTCGGCACTAGGACCGGAGTGGTACATGAAAGGGGGCCAAAAGGTCGTTAGTTCCCCATCCCGTGCTGTTCCATGTCATGATATTCTTCTTCTTCTTCTTCTTCTTATTCTCAAGGGGCTATGGCGCTAGCGGAGTACCGGAGCAATGCTACGAGACCGCACAGGGTCGGCAGCTGCCGAGTCCAGGTGCTAAGCATGGCAGGCGCTTGAAGAAAACATAGCCCATGTCATGATCTCTCTTTCTTTCAGGGCTGCAGGGAGCCTGGAGAGCTACTGCCCTCCCCTTAGGCATAGCCTCAAGCCCGAGCAGTCCCGCAGCACGATCGAATCAAGTCGGACCCAGGAGGACCGAGATACCGAGCATAAATGGCCCGGGGTTTCCCCACTGGTACCAGCCACTGAAAGCTACCCGCACATGATCTCTCTCTGTCTCCTTCTCTCTCGACCCTCTATCTCCGTGCCTTTCTCCGTCAAGCTGAACCATGAGTCAGGTTGGGCTTTGAGAGGCATCTTGCAGATGAAGTAACGGCCTCTCATCCATCATGTCACCATACAAATTTCATGCTGCCCTCACACAAGCTCAAAGCTTCTGAGTTGACAGAGACCGCTTCACTCAACACTGGGAGTCGCCTTCGTGGCAATGTTGCACATGCCAGTGATACCTGCCGACTGAATTAAGTGTTCAAGACTTGCAGCAAGTTTAGAAAGCCAGCGGGCAACAGGTTTGGAGCAAAGAGTGGACAGTTGGAACAATTATTGAACCATTCTCAAACCTCGTGCAAACCCGCCTCCAGTAGTCGTGCCGACTGTGGAAAATATAGCCTTACACAGACCCAGGCTTTGGTTTTCTTTTGTTTGGAAAGGAATGCAGAGACCACCAGGGCAAGGCGCAGGGTCTCGACCGGTGGTCGATGGTGTGTCCGGGCGAAGGCCGGGCGGTCAGCCGGCTAGAGATCTGGAAAGGATCCTCACACATGGTCTGATGAAGTCAAGCTGAAAGTCGGACACTTTGACAAAATATGCAAAAATCTGTCTCCTTGCCATCCAGGCGGTTCACGTTTAACACGTCCTCTGTCCTAGCACGCAGCTACGGCCAGTCTGCTGGAGGAACAGTCCCACTGGCTCCCCGCTGCGTAAGCACTGCAGAAGCTTCTGATTTGCCAATCTGTGGTGCGAAGAGTTGCAGAGTCACTGATGCAAACATCTCTGCCAGTCCATCCACCGGAATTCGATCCGATGACACCCAACCAGTGCCAACCTTGCGACACGAGCTCAGAGAAATTGCGTGTCGCAGGGGGCTGCTCTGAACGGGGCCTAGGAACTGCAGTTTGTAAGGGAAACGGGTTTAAGATGCGCGGGTTGGCTTTCTACCAAGAACCTCACAAACAGGGCTACTGGCAGCTACAGCTAGCTGATACTTCTTTCAAAGAGAATTCATCTCAGTGACTGTTCACATGGACGACATTGGCATCGACCCAGTCGTACTCCGCATCGGACTCTGGCCTTGAAGCCGCTCTGTGGACCAATTCCAACTGAGTAACAAGTTGTCCGGGTGGCATGAAAATGTGAGACTGGTAGTGGTTGCAGTGGCTCTCAGCACCGCGGAAGTTCGACCAGCCCATGTAGCGGTAGCAATGCCGTTGGAACTCCTTCCATCCACTCGGACACCTAAGACTTCCGGGACTTGGGAGGACACTGCTGAAATTCTGTAGTATTTGGAAGGCTACTTGCCCGTGTAAGCTACTTTGCAAGATGACGGAAATGGAAGTCTACGCCTCGACCCCCTCTGAGCCCTGAGAATTAGCCACGCGGCTCTGTCTGGAAATTGGAAATACGAAAGGTTGGCCGCCAAGCGAGGTACACAGGGTAGACATGGCCTTGGCCCAGAACACCATGAATGCTACTTCCTCACTCCGTGTTGCACTTCTTTCATTCTGCAAGTCTGCGGATCGCCCGTAAGCACCTGCTGCTGCTAGTTCTGCATGCTGCATGTGCCACAACCCTCTCACAGGTAGAAGGCTGAAACTGAAACGCATTCTGCCTCTGGGAATGTTTGTCAAGCGCTTCTCAGTTTCCTCCGGTGCGAGCAGCTTGCTGCATGCCAAGCTACTAGGCATTGGCACAGCATACATGCCAGTCCCCCCATTGTCCGGAATCTTGTCGTAAAGATCCTCATCAACCTGGCATGTCAAATAGCGCCGAAGAACTGAGGAATAAAAACAATCCTACAAGACCTAGCAACACAACAGCAATGGAGGTAACTTCAAATTGCAGGAGCTTGTAGGGGCCTGCAGGACGGCGGAGGCAAAGGTAGCCGGGCAAGAGTAAACACCCTCGTTGTAGCGGCCTCTTTCCTGCGCTGGTGTGAACACTCACACTAACGCTGGAAACAGAGACCCGACGAGGTGAGCCGCTGTTTTTTTTCGCATGAGGTGGCAAACAAGGGGGTTGCTCGCAAGGCGGCCCTAGCAGGCTTGGATTCGAACATCGAAACCGCTCACTCTCTTGGCTGACAAACTGACTAAGCAGAATGCGAACTGTTAAACGCTTGCTGGAATTTGACACTGTCCCGATGGTAGTACCAGCGATTTCGTTTGTAGTCCACAGCCAACGAGCAAATGTCCTGATGAGCAGGTTTCCGCATGGCACATCAAGTGAATGAACCGGCAAGCGATCAAACTTTGCAGGACGAAAACGTAACAATTTGAACATGGTCAGGACATCGACAGTGCTGCCACGAAAAAATGTCATACCACGCTCTTCAACTTTGGACTTGCAAATCATGTCAACAATTTGTGATATGCTTGGATTTCAAGCCAGGTCACTCCAAGATGGCCAGAAAGACGTGTCACCTGGTTCCGTGCAGGTCCACTGATGGCCCGGCGGAAAACGTACGAGCTCCTTGGCAACTACTTTTATGGCGATTACAAACCAACTTGTGCTAGCATCTTGTCATGACACAAGATGGCCTCTGGTCAGAAATAAGAGGACACACACACCATGTCAAAACAAAACTTCACAAAGAAAACACTGGATAATGTCAAGATTTGAATATGGGTTCCACTTGTTCAAGCATATTATAGTGAACCCGCCAACGCCAGCAGTTGCGTACTTTCCATCGGGACCTGTCATTGGCATGAAGATTTTCCATAAGGCACGATAGGGAGCGGCTCTGCGGTTCTGTAGCAGGATTCACCCGCTTTTCAACCCTCATATCCCAAGGTGATCACATGCCTGTCAAAAAAAGCCGAAAGCCTGACCTGAAGCAAGTCAAAGAGAAACTTGCAGCACTCACGCAACACCAGAAAAGCCTAGAATCTTACAAGCATTCTAACTTGGAAGCCTTGAAAACTCCCCGTTTGAAACCTCGAGCCCCGGGCTGTGAAAGCTCCAATGACTTCCGCCCTATGATGTAAAATTTCAACAACTGCCTCGAGTGCGCCAACCTTGTTCAATGGCAGTTTCAAGCATCATTTCATCAGTGATATTCGTATTCAAAGATGCAACGCTCATATCGCAAAAATAACTCTACACCAAATTCTAGTGCCATCAGGCAGACTGACGCTTCTACGAGTGTGGATGCTACAACAGCAGCACCAACAGCATCAGCAGCAGCAGCAGCGGCAGCAGGACAACTACCAACTCCAATGTTTTCTCAACTTCGATCCCAACAATGACCTGTCCAGCATAACCCATGCTGAAGCGTGCGGAAACATTGGTCACCTGGCGATAACTGCATGAAGAACAGAACGCACTCAGACGCTCATCGCAAGCAGTACCACATTCTGAGTTTTCGTGATGATGTAGCATGTAAAGCACCTAGCATGCATCATGCACGAACAAGCATTGACATTGGGGTCCTAACTCCAATTATGCGCCCACTCCCTGCATGGCGACAGCGTCAAAACCCGCATGGGCAGAAGGTGAATGGGCTAGCTAGAACACAAAACCCGGCAACGTTGAACGCACCAGTCTTCATTGCAGCAGGACTTGTAGTGGCAGCGAAAATCCAAGCTTCTGGGTGGCTCTGCCTTCTATGCGCCAAGGACCTTCAAAGTGAGATCCAAAGAGTGTTGCCCGAACTCACCGAACAACTTGCGGAAAGCTACGCAAAGTAGCCTGCATTCTGAAAATTCTTATTGCAAACATTGTAGGCACCTCCGTTGCAAAAAACAATCTGAACCTGATCATCGCTCGTATCCGCACTTTCATCACGAATCCGGCAGAACCTTTGCGTCGTGAAACACATTGACAAATGCGCCAGACTGCGCAAGACCTTCCGTCCATGAGTTGGTCATGCCGAAATGTGTTTCTTGCAAGCAAAGTCTCCTCTGCCACGTTGCATATTCAACATCTGAGTTCTAAGCGAGAACACTGCGTTTCCAGGAGGGGCAAGCCAGATTGGGCTGGGCAATTTTTGGAGCTTCATCAAACCTTTGGTCCTGCACAATGTTTTGGAGAGCTCATGATTTGCCTCGAACAGCGGCATTGGGCTTGCAACGATGTTACGCATCATACATTTGGCCTCACCGACGAGAGAAGTTTGACAAGACTCTTGCCATGAGGAATGCGTGCAGCATCTCCATTCCAGGTTGTGTTCTGTTGCTGTCACGGCCTTATGATGGAATATTCAACAAGAAATCTCTAGCAAGTACTCAAGACAACCAATTCATATTGGATATTGCGACACAAATTTATGGGCACGAGCTCCTCAATACAAAAATTGAAAAATACAATGCGTTTGCAAGATGATTCCGCCAGCCGTGCAACCTGCCAAAGCGTGTGGCTTAAGCCTAAGCTTCTAAGCACGTGTCAAAATCATCAAACGCATACACAAATGACCATGTTGCGGTGCCCGACAGGAAGTAGTGCAGTCAGAAGCTGCATAACCCGTAAGCGAAACTGGAAACGCGCTGACATGGAAAGCGCTTACGTCTTTGCCAGGCGCGCCCAGAATCCCTACCACATTGAGTTGGTAGTAGCAAAGAAAAGGAAACAGGCCTGAGCGGGCGTTCATCTTGGATGCTGGACGCCCGTCATCGCCCAACATCGTGCCAGGTGATGCAGCGTCACAGCGGCTCACGCCATCCGACGACGTGGGCGGGGTTCTTCAAAGGCAGGGAACCCACCTCCAGTGAAGCGAAGCTTCCTCGGAACCCTCGTCCAGCGCTTTTGCAAGTGATGTAAAGGCCCCTATTGGAGCTGGCTTGCTGGCACGCCGCTACGGCTGCCAGCTCCGCCTCCTCAAACTGCTCCTGGAGTTCGCACCCTTACCCAGTGGCAAGCGGCTGTGGGATCTCGCCCGGATGCCGGCTCAAGGTCCAGAAAGTCCGCCTGCAGGCGTTGCCTCCAAATGGATGTAATTTAGCATAATTGGAAGGCCTGCTGGGGGAACTGGCCTTCTGGATTGCCGGTGGCTCTCTTCGGGCAGGCGGACCTGACGTCTTGTAAGGCTGGGTGCTCGGTGGGCGAATGTGCCCGTGTTGTTAACAAGGGGGCGATGTGCCTGTGCTGCCAGCACAGGAACTGATGGATGCTGGTCGTCTCCGTAGCGTGGAGGCGGAGGCTTGGGCTGGCTGCGCGAGATCGTCGGCAAAGCCTTGCACCACTTGCGTCGTCTTCTGGAGCCTCGCCAAGCAAGGAAGATGACGGCGGGAACCGCTGCCCCAGATGAAAAGTTCGAATAAGGGGGCGGTGGTAGTAGTCACCAAGGAGGGTGTCCCAACCGCCAGGGGATGCTATGGGTGCCCTCTACATGGCTGCCGCAAGACAGCCGCACAAGCGTCGCCACCAGAGGAGGAACTTGAGGCCGCCCCATCAGCAGCAGCATCCAATGCCTCACCTGTGACTGGGGCAGGCAGGGAGCTCGAATTGCCCGATGCCATGTCGGCCGTCCCCCTTGGCAGTCCGGAGCCTGGTGGAGCATCGCTTTCAAGGTCCTGGTGAGGCGGTTCAGACCCCAAACTTGGGAGGGCCTGCAGAGCAGAGACAATCACCTCTGTGGGGAACCCCGCCATGGCAGGAGAATGCACAGGGTTGGGCGAAATCGAGCAAATAGACGGCTTCAGATGCCGCCCATTACGCTCGATGCTACAATGCACGCAAAACATTCTCGACGTCTGGGATTCAACATAAGTATGCATGAGTAGTGCAGTTTTCTCTTGGTATGGTTTGGTCATGGATGCTCTAGTGCATAGATTCATGGCCTGTTCTTGGTTATGGCGCCTGCCAAATACGTGTACGTGTATCAGATGCGAAGGCTGAGTTTCTCTCTTTCACACGAGTTTGAACTGCATGGTTGATTGAGACATACAAGTTAAAAAAAAAATGCTATCCAAGTCTCGCATGAAGGATGTAATAGCTGGTGCCGTCGTTTTCCAAGATGCCACCTGGGAATGACGAAGTTACCGTGCTAGCTCCGCCCAATTACAGCCTGGCCTTGGCGACCACGCTCGCAGCCTCGCATCCAGAAGCCCGAGTAGGAGGCCAGCTCCTTCACCTTCAAAGTGCCTCGTATGCTGCATTAGCATACCTAAGCCTGAGATGGAAAGCATACGGTTCTTACGGATGGCTTAGCCGCATTAGCCAAAAACCTGAGATGGAGAGCATACTTCGTACAAAGAAGCCCTCAACCAAGTGCAGCAGTTGGCCAGAGCAGCCAAGCGTGATGATTTGCCACTTGCTCCAGCGGTCCAGAACCACCATCTCCCCGTCGCCGATGAAGACCCGATACCTGGTTTACAAACGCCATGCCTACAAGCTTCACGCAGTGTTCGACGAATGCAGAGAAATTCCAAAGCAGCCCGCAGCCAGTCGTGATCTCTATTGCGGGGAGGTGGCCAGTGGATTGGAAATCGCTTGGACAGTCGAGCACGAGACGTCTGGCCAAGACCAGCGTTCAAACAGGCAACGTACCTCGGACATGCGAGCACCTGCACGTGCGCAAATGTAGCCTTTTCAAAACAAAGAAACTGGTCCCACGCTGCCTGCGAGTAGCTCAAAGGTCTGGTAGCTGCTCAGTGCCCCTCCCTGATTGTTCTGCAGCCAATAAATCTGTCCGGAGACAGGGTCGGCATGCACGGACTCCAAATGCCAACCCGCGCCGCGGTTCCAATCGCGTCGAATGGAGCCTCCAGCCACTGATCGGACGATGCCTCAGCCAAGCTCCGCAGCTTCATGCGTACTCAGTGCTACAGGATTCACCATATTTCTGCAAGCAAGTACAGCTGTGTCTGACATGGAGAAGACTCGCTCCCCATCGACCAGATCTTCTTCCGCATCTAAGCAAGCTGCGCCAGTCACCCTCGTAGTAGACGTAGTCTCCATTGAACCACAGTAGGCCACCTCAAGAGAACATCTCAAAAAGCTCAACCCGTATTCATGGCTGACAGCCAAGGTACCATCATCTCCACTCCAGCGCCACATGTCATATCCAGTGCAGGATGACGATAAGGATCGGGTGAGGCGGCCTGCAAGGCTGGAAACTCCCGTCAGGTACGGTGGTCCTCGCACTAGTGGACAAGCGTTCCATCAAAGTGAACAGGTGTGGAGAAGTAAGGAAGAACCGTAGCTACAAGTAGCTCATCTGCACAGCTGCCTGGTGCAACAACCTCGCTCTGAATAGTAAACAAGCCCGACTCGAAAGCACGTCGTTTTGACTTTAACTTAGGCAGTGCCTCCTCGCTCAACGGCCTCAAGCTGTCGAGAAGGTTCATGGTCATAAAGCACATGTCAATCATGCAGCAATTCAATTGCCGGTGCTGGGATCCAAGCCGGCATCATTGGATTGCAAACTAGAACGGCAGCCCGCATGGAGGGATGACCTTCCGACGGCCACAGAAATGGGGCTCAAACCCTGTTATCCGCTCACACTCTTAGGAAGTAGAAACGCACTGATGCATCCAAACGCGCACGCAACGGATGCAACGCAGCGGCTGTACCAGTGCTTCACAACGATCCGGATGTACCGTGCTGACACCGGCCGCAGAAACATGACCTGAAGCGAGACTATTGAAAGCTCGGTAGCTGACCACGGATGCCTTCATGCAACTCACAGCGCCAGCTGCAACAAATGCCCTCATGCCAATTCTCCACCACAGTCTGGGGATGTGACCTGCTGCTGCGTGTTGCGATCATGATTCCCACCATGTCCACCTGGGCACTTGGTATGACACAGGAGTCGTGACTGAGTGATCAATGACTTCTAGTGATTCTAGTGCAATTTGAGGGCCAGGGCATGGTAGTCTTGGAGCATGTGGCTCAGGTTGCAACCCTGGCCGTATGGGGCTGAAAAATGCCAATCACTGAGACGATGGCCGGGCGCATTAAAGAAGTTCCGGTTGTTGTTGCCTTGGAAGCTACTTGCAGCAAGCTGTGAAAGCCCAAGCAAGACATCATGCCCGGTACTGCAGATGATCCCTTTCACACGCCTAGGTTTAATAACTCTTCAGTTGCAGTTCAACCAGTTCAACCATTGTTTCGTCCGAAAGCAGCCTGCCCTGGTCTGAAGCTGCAGCCTCAGGCACTGTACTGAACTACAAATGATGTCACCCATTGATTTGCGTTTGCCCGCCCGCGAGTCACGACACCTGCGACTGATCGCCAAGCAATGATGATGACTTCGCAGACAGCAACATTTTGCTCTGGCAAAATGAGCGCTAAAAGCTCAAGAAGGGTGCTGGAATCGCACGGCAAAACAGAGGGACGTCTGCATACGAGGGCCTGCCACGAAGTACTTGGCTTGAAGATCTATCGTCATCCATGAGTTGCTACCTGAGTCAATGAAGTAGGATCAGATGGTGCGAGTCAAGATCCTATCAATCTACGCAGGAAACTGGAATCCGAGGTTCTGAAATGCGTAGGATTCCAATCCACTCCACAACGAACAGTTGACATCCGGAGCGTAGCTAAATTTGGGCCCAGCAACTTCTGGAGCCTGCCGACCAAGCCTGCGGGGAGTTCAATCCTGATCGCGCGTGGCCTTGGATCTCAAGGGCAGCCATAGCTATTTTACAGGTCTCCCAGATGATGCACTTTTCAAGCGATGAGGCCCCGGCCAGTTCCCTTCTTGTTATTGCCTTGGGTTGACGGGGTCACAGAGGCACCCCATCTTCATCCATCTTTGCCATGTCTGCCAAGGGACCCCAAACACTGTTGTAGGAGCGTTGGCCCTCTGGCACATCAAGAAGCGTTCGGGAGCAAGCCTGCACAGGTTGCACTATGCCTCGTTTGTTAAGATTCCTTTTCTGGTACAGGAGGAGCCGCATTTTGGGGGGTCTCGAAGAAAGCCAAGCACCATGTTTTCAGGCAGCCAAACACTCCAGCCCTGTACAAACACAACGTTTCACACACTTTAAAGGGTCTCCAATTGGCAGCCATTACTGATAGGGCCCTTCAGTGAAGTGTACAGGCTAGCAAGGTTAGTATAACGAAAAGCATGGTCAGACACAGGCCTGGCATGATTTCCCATACGCATCCACACCTGTCAGGCGGAACCAATGATCCGGGCAGCCTGTGCGCAGCTCAAGCTTTCGACTGATACTGATATAGGAAGTCAAGTTCGCTGCAGCCCAGTGACGCGTGTGGTAACTTTTGATGATCCGCAGCCTCTGCACGCCGGTGCTTGGAAATCCTGGCTAAGCAGCCCACAGAGCCAGATGGACCATCTTAAATCACTCTTCTGATTCCTGGTTTTAGATAAACTCTGTGAATGGTGTAACAGCTGCAGTTCCAAAGGTGCGTTGAACCCAAAGCAAGGACAACCCTGCCAAGGCCACGCTTGCACGACTCCAGGCCAGTCCAGGAGCCGCGGACGCGGCAAGCATTACGCCAAGACCTGTTTCAACAGTGAGGGGCCAAGGAGTTGCTAGAGTTGCTAGGGTTGGGAAACTGCTGCGAAACCAAGAGCTGAAAAAGCAGCCCACGGGGCTTGCCGCAACATCTTTTATGCACGGAAAGACTCTAAAGAAGTCTGGACAGGGAAAAAGTGCCCAATGCTGCCAGCAACCCACCCTGGTCGTACTGTATGTTGTACCAGCAGCGTAGTCCAGTCCAGTGGTAAACATCGAAGCTGTCAAGCTGCATAGCCTCAAGGGGCTTAGGATAGAGGCAGAAAAAGTGCAGAACCAGGTGTGACATCGGGTGCCCCGCATAAGGCAGCTTGATCTCAGCCCACTGTGTGAAGTGAACTCCGCGCCCCCAGGCCCAAGTCCAGGTATCTGATTGAGAGGTGATCTGTGACGAGCAGTCGTTGCTGCTTCCTTAGCCGCTGAAACAATGCAGTGCTTCTAGATACAGCTTGCCCTCAAAATCATGCACACACATACTCCAGAGCAACGGCCAGGTGGCTCCAGCCCGACCAGCGGTCATTGGATTGGCAGCGGAAGTTGGCGTTGTGTGGAGCATTGGCTTTATCCGAGTGGCAGACCTGTATGGCAGCAGAACTTGCCAGCCCTGAGAAGAACAAACCTTGTACGGGCCAATTTGCGCAATGCATCTGGCATACAGTTGGCACCTTCATAGTGGAGTAGATCGCGAGGCGATGCCCCCCTCCAAGACCCTTCTTGTTCCATGTCTCGACATTGCAGTCTCGGTCATTGGCCTGACCGAAGCTGCGAATCACTTGGCTGCAAGGATCTGACAACATCAAAGGGACAATGCTGTATGAAGCAGTCGAGACACAATGGCCATGTTTGGAATGTCGTCCAGAAGCATGCACTGAGCATGTCCCGCGGCGCTATATCCTTTCTAAGCAGACTCTGACAGCTGATTTAGTCAGAGATCGTCTGTTGTGTTTGCTTGTCAAGAAAATTCGCAGGATGTTATCAGTCCTTGAGGCCATTCCATTCCGAAGTACAAGAATCCTCCTTTCTTCGCTCTTTCAGTGCACTTCGGCATTGTCATGGAGCCCCTTTCCTTGCTGGTGCGCAATGAGACTCTCTGCCCCGAGCAGGAGGCTGTTGACTTCTGCTAACCAACATCTTCTACTTGACCGAGCAGCGTGACCGTTCCTGCGATTCCGCCCCTCATTTCTGTAGCAGCCGTTGTAGAAAACCTGCACAAGTGCAAGGCCAGCAGCAAGAGCCAAGCACAGCATGACGCTTGCAGCTTGACGGGAAGAATCCATGCTCGAGATGGCCTCCGTGGTAGTTGTCGTAGTGTCCTGCAGGAGAACTGCTGCATTCAGGCGGTGTCATGCCATAATAAAGTTGGCGCTTGACCTGTGGCATTTTCTGCGCGAAATGTACGCAAGGTGTAGTATAGAACCCATGCCTGCTCGTCAGATGGCACAGTCGCCTCGTTTCGCATCTTCGGCACACATATCAGGTGCGCAGACACTGCTGCATACAACATGTCAAACATCTTTAGAGCCAGGATTCACCGCCTTGTCCCTGCCACCCACAAATTCATACACATTAAAAAGCTTTCTAACAAACATACCCAAGCTGCCCTTCGAACGTAGCAGTCTCGGCCACTGTCCCTAACGGAATGACACTTCGCAGACTTTCGGTAGAGGCAACGCCTCAGCTGGTTTCAGAACAGGGCAAGCAGTGGCGACTCAGCTGTGCCAGTCGGAGTCTGCGAGTACGTAAAAGCACTAGCCCAATTGGCTCCAACATGCAGAAGTGATGACAAATCCACTCACTTCTTCCCATGCTGGGCTGCAACAAGAAGACCCTATAGTAGCTGCAAGTGGAGTCACTTGGTCTTCTCCATATAGTTGAACCCGCCACAGGCTTCCTTTGAGGCGCGGCACACAACTGAGCAGAGATTCTTTGGGCGCACCAGGCCGTCTACGATGTAGAAATCCAAACGCATGGCTCTTCCGCTTGCCATGATGGAGCTTGAAGGAGCCATATAAATCCCTGCAGAGCAATCCAACTGTGAAGTGCATCAGAAAAGGAAGCGGTGCTACTTGCCGCTCGACATCCAGGAATCTTGCTCCTGTCTTAGCATCCTTGCTAACCATGTGATAAGTACCGAAGTGGAAATGCCACAGAGCGGTGATAAGGTTTTGCCAGACTTGCTGAGGTTCAAAGCCCTTGCATTCAAAGCTATCTCAAGTTTCAGTCCCGATCATGCGGAGTCGATGCGAGGTATGTCCTTTTGGCAACAGATCAGGAAACCTAATCCTGAAAAAACCTGATGAGGCTCCGAAGCTTCGCAGACCGGGCCACAAACCTGCCAGGCACAAGCAATAGGCACAAAGAAGCCAAGCAAAGAATGCGATGCAAGCCCCTTACCACGGAATTGAGTCCCGCTTCTTTCCGCCTCAAGAGCTGTGTCACGAGTGGCAGAGTCGTAGTAATTGCCTCAGCATGCTCGGGCAAAACTAGGGAATATAAGGTATTGCACATGCAAAGTGGCAGCGGCAAAAGAAACGGAATCGGTACAGCTCCTGGAAGAAGCTCTTGCATGTTCATGCTAGCTAGCGCATGGCCATCTCTACCTGAGAAACGCTGCCATTTCGACCGAGCATCCATCCTTTCCAATAAAGAGATTATTCGCATTGTTTTTTGCACACCTGCCCCCGTAGCCGCATCCACGGCCAGGTATGCGCTCAAAGAGGCCCTGCATCGGCCAAGAGTGTTTGACATAGTAGCCGAATCTTGAACAAGAGCAACTGGAGCTGACAGCTGTCCAGCAGCTTGAGTCTCGCAAGTTGCCATTCAATCGTTCCTTTGTTTTTCTTTGACAGCATGGAAGGGCCTGACAACCAGCTGGGCTTCATGCTGCAGAGCAGCAAGCTTTACCCTGCCTTCTTGTTGTCGTAGACCAAACATTGCACTCCAGGCATGCCCGCTGAAGTCCGGATCTCTGTATACCAAAGCTCACAAATCACGTCTCCTGCAGCCAAACTGTTGTTCAAACCCGTGCAGAATGTTGTAAGAGCATTCTTTCGTGACTTGGAACAATGGCACAACAAAGCGAGCGGGTTAAGGGTAGATCTAGACGCGACATCATGGGTGCTAAGATTCCAGAGAACGAGAAGCGCGACAATCCAAAAAAAATGACAGAAAGAGTCTGGGCGGCTGCTCTGATTCTAGCCCTAATTCAAGCTTTTACTGCTTGCACACCACAGTGCTGTCAAGGGTAAGCAACTGTCTGACTCTCCAAGCTTGAGAGCTTCAGAAACAAACACTACACCTTCTGATTAGCAGACCGCAGCACACAACCCTGTGTGCTGCAGCGATCGAACTTAGCAAGGAATTGCTGACGTTCAATTCACAAGGTAACACAACCGACAGGTACTCACCGAAGCCACGAAACAACAAAGCCCACAGTCCGTGCTTTGGGCAGGTCCGAATCAAGCCAAACTTGCACTGGGCCTAGCAAGCCTGGCAGCTAGCAGCTAGCAAGCAAGTCAGTGACCGACACGCCCGTCCTCTGGAATATGCATGTCCATACTCGATTCCAGTACAAGTATCCTTGTTCTGGCAGATCACCTGCAGGTACGACAAATAAAGGCGTCTTGCTTCCCTAAAGTCCTATCCCTAGGCAAAGAAGGCAAAAACATGTGCTGACAACCACGCGACCTTGCAGTCCTCCAAGGTGGCGACATTCTTCAGCCTGCCCCGCAAGATTTTGACATAGTGCTGGGAGCAGGGTTACGCTGGCATATGCAGACTACATCAGCATGCAACTTGCCCATGGTTGCAGTATGTCAATGGCAAAGGCCTTTCAACTGTCTTCACACCATCGTCTGAGCGATCCATGTCATCCTAAGCAGCCCCACACACACGCGCTCTCTCTTCGATTTGAAGTACTGCTGGGGCTTCGAAAACGCCAGGTGCTCTCTGAGCTTGGCTGCAGCATGATCACGATGGCACAAAACCCGTAACTTGCCGTTTTCTGGCTAAGCGCAACGAGAGACAACGAGAGCACAGTGAAGATTATGTGATAGTTCGCAGAAGCCAGAAATAACGCCTCAATTTCCCACAAAAAATGCAACACATGCTGCCCGAGTCACAATGCGACAGGCAGAGTTAGGCCCGTAACTCCGCCAAGTTCCCACCTTCCAAGTTTCCAGGCAAAAACCTACCCGCAAAAATCAATGTGGATGCAAGAGCCCAAGATGAACAACTTGCTATGCAGCACTTCTCACGCTGGTTGGCGTGGGCTTTCTTTCCAGCTCTTGCTTGCTGGAACTCGCAAGACGTGCCGCGCATCGGCTTCTTCCATGGTGCACTGTTGGCTACTGTGTTTGCAGCCGACATTTCTGCCCTCCTGCTCTCACCCGGCCAGCCAGCCTTCTTGTAGGAGTCAAAGTTCTGCGCACCAGTAGTCATATGCAGGTGAGCTGCTGACACCACTACATGCCTTCACCTTCATGTGTATCAGCTGAAACAGGAACAGAGCACTGATAAAACCATGCATGGTCCTTGACGCGCGAGGTGGTCTCGACGAGCCGACTCATCAGTTGGCAGGTTCCCTCCTACACAAGCCACAGGTCCCGAAGGACATGCAAATCAGGAAGATTTCTCTGACCCTTAATTCGACCTCCCGTTCCCGAAACAATTCGATTCGCTTGACTGAGCTCGGGAATTCACAACGGGACGATTTCAATACAAACTCGAAAACATAATCTGCAGTAAGTAACAAATAGGTTCCCTCCTGCCAGTCAGGAATGTTGCCAAATGAGTCCGTGTGCTTGAAGCCAAAACCCGCGCACCAGTACCGCTCGTTGCAAAGCCTGGCTTAGGCCCTCGACATGATAAGCAAAGCTGAGAACTGTAAAAAAATTCGCAGAAGAGCACTTAGAGATGGTAGCTAGCGGGTGAAGCTGTAAAGCTTTGTTGCATCAAGCAACATCTTGCAGCCATCAAGGGATTGACGCATGAAGACGCCGTACTCCCCAGATGTATACCTCATGCCGAAACTTCATTATTCAAACCGCTTCGACAGTTTGACAACTTGTTGCAATCCTGCTCATGCTAGACGGCACGTTTTCGGAAAAGTCTGCTGAGCCCGGAGCCCTTCGCCATTTGGCCGATCGCTGCCCGACGGTCCGCCCGGCCCCCTGCCCCAGCGCTTCGCGTCAGTGGCAAGGAAGACCTGCAAGCTGGAGGCATGCCATCATGCCCATGTTGATGTGGCTGCCTTGAACTCCCGCTACCCCGTCTCCATGCAAAACGCGTGCCTATGCTATGCACAAGGACATTCCAGGTCAGATTCGCTTTTACAAACGCTAAAGGAACTAAACAGGAGCAAAAAGAAAAGGTTGAGTGTGGTCTGGCTTCAGAGGACCAACCCCATCCAACCGGTCCCACCACGGCTCATTTGCAACCTGAGCCGAACCTTTTCGGGCACCAAGCAGTTTTCGGCTTCGAACCGTTCGAAGCTGCACAAAATCCAGGAAGCCCACAAGCCACAAGCTAGGCGGATGCACCAAAGTGATTGCCATAAAACGCCGAGTCAAACGTTGTCACGCTGCACCAAAAGTCGCGGCCTTGTCATAGCCGGGCTCCTGCACACGCCAATTCTTTCAGAGCAGCCCCACGGAAAGAATGTAAAATGAGACATGTCATCCTCAGAGCAGCCGCCATCACAAACCCAGGACAGGTCGTAGAGAGAGCCCCGGTAGACGCTGGAATCCTTACCAGGCATGGTGTGGCTGTCTTCAAGCTGCGTAGTTGGTGGTAGTTTGATTTCTGTTGGAACAGAAACCATCACCTGTGAAAATCTGGCACGAAGCTGCTTCTACTTCCAAGGTTCAATGTTCATCGGGAACCAAGCACTTTCCGGAGCCGTCCACAGGACGCGTCTGTTCACCAGATATTCCACACGCGAACGCTCACTGTTGAGCCTGGGACAAATGATGAAAGCATGCTGCCTGCTCGTGTCTTTGTAACATGAAAGAGCATGCGCCGGGCAGAATGTCTGCGTCTTGCCTGACTTCAAAAATGTCGTTATCACCGCCAGACCAACGGTTTGTTCCAAGATTTGCGTTGCCTTGGCAGTATCAGATGCTGTTCTCACTCACAACGCGCTCCTTGCTTGCTCGATCTTGCCACGGTGCCCCACCAGCCCCGTGGGCCCATTCGGGACCAGAGCCGTCTTCCAGGAGAGTACACCTGCACTTCGGCCAAACAAAAGGGAGTTGAAAGCCAGATACTTGTGGAGTCTTCTTGGCGACCGAGCGACATACATGGAATAGTCGATGTCCCAATACACATCGTTCGAGTTTCCATGCGACAAGCCGATCATGATGACGGCGTCTGAGGTTGCTTTGAATCTGACACCTCAGCTGCTGGCAGAACAAGAGGCAGTCGATACCAAACACTCCTGCAGCAGCCTGGCCTCTCTTTGCACTCTTGGCAGTGACCTCGGAGGCTGTGAAAGCCCCGTGAGCCCATCCATGAAAAGAGCCTGCCGGATGCAGCAAAGCGCAGCGCAGCGTCTACATGTACATACATGTTCTGAACTCCAGCCCCCGCCCCTCACACCCTCGCCTTCTCGCCCCAAGGATTTCCTCTGCTGCCAGTCTGGCATCAGCACTGGGTTGATATGCGCCCAACGAAAGGCCTGGCAGAGGTGCAGGGCCAGAGGTTGAGGAATCGGATGGAAAAAGAAAGGCAGCAACGTCACTTGTAATAAGACACGTGTTCAGGACTTGCGCTGGGCTTGGCCTCTGTGGTCGTTGCAGTTGTCCCCTGCAGCACTCAGTGGAGTTTAAACTGCACAGACCAACCTACTGTGTTACAGTCTTCTCCAGAGGTGATGGTATCGGACTAGACTGCTGGAAGCGCACCTGCATTTCACATGGCATTCCAACCAGCTGGACATTGTTGAGCGTGATGCCTTGGCCGAGTAACCGCGATGTGTAGGAAAATCTGCAAACCCACTACCTAAAGAATTCATGTTTAAGATTCATGTTTGTCCAGTGCTTCACTGTACTCCGCCGGGACAACGTTAGACATGCTCCAACGCTACCATTTCCATGTCTCAGGCAGAGCTGCTGGACTGGTAGCATATGTCAGCCCACCCGAGCGTGAGGCGCACGATGGAAACTCCTGAGCATGGGCTAATCTTGAAGCGGTCGCGAGTGGCAAGGATTGCAGTTGCGCCTGACACGGCGTCAAAGCTGTGGAAGAAGGGCTTGTCTTGGACGAAGCCCTTTGCCTCTCATGCTCAGTGGCTCAGTGCTGCGAGTTCTTGAGATCACTTGAAGCTTGGGAAACACCTGGCCTTGGTGGCATACTGAGCCCCGCGTTCATAGTTTCCAAACATTGCCTGCTTGTCGTACACCATGTTCCATCTGCCTGAGAGATCCAAAATCAAGGATGCAAAGTTGAAACATCATCGCCCCCTCCCCTTCTGGCGGTGCTTTGGATGCTGAACATATCTGCATACCCTTAACGTCACAAGCGCCAAGTAACCAGATGCTTGCACATCGATCCGTAGACCGCTGTAGCCTTCCCCTGTGCAGTCCTGAGAGCCAGCATGTTGGATCGCTGGCATTTGCAGCTGGCAGGTGTGATTGGTACCCTCCAGGTTGCAGGCAAGTGTCCGGGCTGTTGCCTACTGTGATGCCGACAGCAGCTACTGTAGCGGCCTGCGGTGCAACCAAAGCGGCACTCTCTCAACCGATTCGCCAATGGTGAATTGAAAGTACTGCGAAGTGTTGAAATCGCAATACATCTTGAGTCGCAAATCCGAAATGTCAAAGGGCCTCTCGCAGTGTGAGGGTGATGACAAACTTCTTGTCGGAGCCGGTGCGGTAACGGACATAATAGTACCTGTTCGTCAACCGCACTCAGCCAAAGTTCTCCCGAGCTGGAGCAAATCGCAGTGCCCAGCCCAATGACTCAACTCAACAGCGCAGCTTTGGAGGGCTGCCCAGCATGAGAGCCAGAAATGACAAACAAGCAGAACCAAGCGCACTTGTCGTTGATGGCACTGTTGATGTCCTTTTTTACGTGCAGCGGCTTGCGTGGCCGGAAACACGTAATGCGGACAATGACAAAATTCGCCCACAAAAGGTTTGTCTCAGATTGCAGGCTAGAAGAGGCTGAGTTGATACCCCGAAAGTCTTTTCGTGAAAGACCTACAAGAAAGGAGCGCGAAAAGAACTGCATCGGCAGTTGGACTGCGCCAAAGTTGACAGCCTGCAAGCGAGGGGCGAGCGATAAAAAACAAGCATCAAAAGATAACATACGCCCAGCGCATCTAAAAAAGTTTCAGCATGAAAAACACACTTTTGGACTAAATTAAGTGGGGGCAAGAACAAAAGGCAAGAATTTAATAACAAAAAAAAACGTTATTTCGTTTACATCTAATAAATAGTACTACTACTACTACTACTACTACCACTACTACTACTACTTCTTCTACTACTACTACTACTACAACAACGCACACGTCGGATATCTGACGGTGGGGTTTTTGAG